AGTCAAAATACATGTACCGTACAGAAATCTCTCCTCAATTGCTGTTCTTTGAGTTAATTTCTGAATTAACTAGAACACTAAAGATATCTCCATTATTAAAAGGTGTTGTCACTGTGACTCCCCTACCCCTCATAATAAATAAACTCCTCCCCACTCTACTTATCAACCCCTGGGAATGCACTGTGTTTTATTTGACCTTGTCCTTAGACCTTCTGCAACAGCTGACCTGAAGCCAAACAATGGGCCTCATAACTGCCAAGTAGTTCCTCAAGTGTTTTCCTGCTATATAGGTCACTGATCCCAGCAGGCATGTGGTAAATATATGATGTCAGCTGATCATTGGGGCAACAAGGGAATAAAACTTTGTTGACAACAACCTAGAGGGGTGTTACAGTTTCCTGTTCCAAGTTTCAGTGTCCGTATTTAATAAGTTTGATCTTGAATTGGGCAGCTTGCCAGGAGAGTAATGATAGTGATCTCAGGGTCTTGAAAAATAAGTTCTTTTCCTGAAATTGTTTACAGCTCAACTACTGTGAACTTAAAGGCTTTAAGTATTCTGGCCCTTTAATTTTTGAAGTCTACCTACCATGAGTTTTTCTCGGATCCAATTTTTTGCAAATTTACAGTTTTCTTCAATGTTGGACAACTAAGGGTACTATTGCTGAGATGTCATTGTTTGGTGCATATAGGTTTTTTATTTAAGTGATGAACCCAGAATTTACCCACTGAAGACAGTTCTGAGACAGAGTTGCCTGCTTGCTTTTTGCTTTGCACACGTCCATGTACATGTACTTACACAATGCGGCACCAAAGAAGAGAAAATTTACCTTAAACCAGCAAAATCTTTAAAAATGCAAGATGTTTTTCTGCACAAACCAGTGTAGCACGGGAGTTTTCTTCAAGGGATGACATCATATTTTTGCTCATGAATATGAAACTCTTGCAGCAAAATACCCTATTAACTAGTGAAACAAATATTGAAAATGATGCTCACTGAGACACAACAATTTACCTTTACAGGTAAATTGTTGTCTATATTAAAACTCCACTGGAGCAATGGGGGTGGGTTACGTGTTGGGCACACATGTACCTCATCTCACCCAACCCAGAATGAAGTATGTACAACTACATGTACATGTACTTGTATGAACACAAGACTGTCAGACTGTATCAAAAAGACACATTGCATACTTCAGTCCTCACTCAAGCACAGGCAAGCTTGGTGGGCCCAGAGTCAACTCTTTATTATTTTAATACTATGTAATATCTTCTGAAATTCATCTCTCACAGGATATTTGAGCAGTTGAAGAATTCTTTACACAAATTTTGCACAAAACAGACCCGCAACAACCACTCGCTCTGCTACAACAAACCCTACCAATCATGCCAGGCCTACATGCACGTACAATTGCCACTATCATCACAAACACTAATGTTAATTGTGACACCAGCCTCCTTCCTCAACATTTCTCCCACTCAGCACAGCAAAAGCTCCAACATGAATCTGGGCTTCAATAAAATGTGACAATGGCCTAAAAAGGGTGAGATATACTGTATATTAACCTCCAAACAAGACGGCTATTTGGTTCCCAAGTCTGCTTTATTATTGTTCCATAGCTTGTTGGCAACTTTCAGGTTTAACCTTCAACCTCAGGCTGGTTATGGAGGCATACATGTATGGATGTGAAGGGCACAACTGGTGACCAACACATCAATATTGACATTGTTGAAGAGTGATGTAAACATCAACTTGTCATCTGTTTACAATATAAACTTATTACAAATCCCCAGTTACAAAGGCTCCTCCATGGTCAAGGTTTGCAGGTTCATTAGCCCTTGGGTGATTAACTGACTGGTCCAGATGCGTCTAAATCAGCCTGTTTCTTCTTTTAATTTTTGAAAATGTCAAGGGTAGGGCTAGTCGTCCTTGCAGCCGTGAGGCTGAACTATGAAGATTGCAGCTATAAGCTAGCATGAAAACCCATCTCAGGCAACTGACAGATGATCCATATTTCACCACATCACAGCCAGAGAGATCAAAAGTGTTGAGTTTTTGCTGAGCGAGGAAAACTGGAGAACCAAGAAAACCCTTGTGGCACAAGACAGAACCAGCAAACAACTCTTCCAACATATTAGTCCATGCCCATAAATGAATCCAGGACCACAGCAATGATAGGCAAGTACTTTACTCACAAGCCAATTAACAGTGCAACTGTTAATGTGGGAACTACATGTACATGTATATAGATAATTGACAGTCAAGTGCACTCACCCAGAATGGGCAAAATAAGATGCATAAAGCCGTGTGTCTAGATTAATTGGCTACAGCTGGCAGTGCATACAGCTATATTATGGGAAATGGCTGTGTCTTAAAGCCTGTGCCTTCCATAGAGGCATGTGCTATTCCTAACCACAGCCAAGTAATGTGGACACGGCATTTCAGGCTCATGTTGCAACATACGGAAAGAATAGGGTATGCTAGATTAATTTCTGCAGAATGTGCACAAATTGGCAGCACTGGCACATGAGAAGCATTTCCCTAAACGTGGGCACAAGTGAAAATGGCATGAAATGTTGACCAATATGAATGATTGCCATCATTACTGTTTCCTGCACTTACATGTATACATGTACGTAAATTCCTTCATTTATTACCATTTTTAAATGAAAATGTGACACACAGACTGCAAACTCTTCCAAATTTTTCAACAGCAATGCTTGATGCACAAACATCACCAGATAAATCTAACTGTTCTGGATATCTTTGCAGCTGTGTTAATTTTTCAAAAAAACTGTGAACAGATTTCTGTCGATCCTAACTGTACTTGACCCAGTTCCAAAGTTGGAACTTCAACCACCAGGTCTCACTTGTCAACAGCTATTACCTCAGAGCAGCTTAGTATTAAGAGTAAACTGTCGTGGAAACTCTGAAAGATAAAAGCTGACAAGAATCAGTTGCGCAACCCATCCTGAGAAATGTAAATCAAACAGGTTACCTAAAAAGAAATACAACCTAAGAAAACACAAAAGGAGAAAATGGTTCCATTGTCTAAGTTCCCTGTGCTTACACATGCGAGCAAAGTTCTGACAAATAACAATGAGTCTGATGATGGGGCCACTATCAAACCGTAAACATGTCAATAGCCAAAGTGCAGGCCCTACATCCTCTCAGAGGCTGGATTCAAGAGCCTACATCTGGTGCCCTACTGACTACACATCACCCCACACTGCACACAATGTTATCACTGCAACAGCGACCTCTTTCAACTTGGAAGTTTTCCAAATTTTATTGTGATATTGTGGCTTATAGGAGAAAAATTCAATAATCAAATTTCGCTCAAAGTTTGTCAATTACATTGAAGGCATTTTCTGATACAACTGCTCAATTAACATTATACTTATTTCTCTTCTCGCTCTTCTCTATCTGGTTCGTAAGTGTGACGTCACTTCAGTTTAAACCACGCCCACTATATACACATGCACTGCACATACGGTTACATGCATTGATCAGCATTTAGATGGAACCATGGAATTGAGAGTTAGAGAGTTGAGAGCCTGCAAATCTTGACGCATCCGCCTTTGTGACAAATTCACTTACAAACCGGATAGCCACCATCTTACGTGACTTTTGACGCTGCAACACCAAAGTAACCCAAGACTACAAGTGCAACAGAATCCGTAGTCACAAAACTTTTCTCCACTTTTTGGTGAGGAATTAGGAATTTTCAAACACTTTCCTGCAATCCCAAAAGTGTTACGTTGAAGTGCCTGTCCAATGAAAAACTGTTGGCATTATTAGGATCATGATCTGGCTAAGTGTGTCCAAACTGACTGTATGAAATTGGCCTGTTCGGTCAAAATAGATGGTTAATCAGTAGTCTGCCCAGGGGCCACTTTCTGTAAAGCTGTTTTAATAATTTGGTAAGAACTGAGAGTATTTGCTACTTAGCCAAAAACAGGTTGTCCCAGCACAAATGGTTTTCGTCAGATTTTTGCTGAGTAGATAAATGTCATTACACATGAAGTTGTGTTGAGCAATATTTCTGAAGTAGTGTTTCCCAAAAATAAGCACCCAGAGTTCCAGGTTATGAACACAGAGCCTCTAATTTGTGCTACAAGAAAATAACAAACATGAAAGGCAATGAAAAGCTCTGAACAAAATTTATAAACTCCATACATGACAGGCAGCTTTGATTTGAAATTATGAGGAATGAGAAAGAGAAAACATTGAGGAAAAAGAGGACATGCTTGCTTGATGCATTCGGGAGGTCTACAGGCTGCCTCCAGGCTGCAGAGGTTTAAATTTTGTCAAATCACATCTCAAGTGGTGATCCACCATGAATAATGCACAGTTTGACACACTCCATTTATTTCCAGATTCTTTTTATGCGAAGTGAAGAAATGTTTCTTTTCTACCTAATCCCTGCCACAAATTTCAAACACAATAGCTCAAATTTGTGACTTTGTTGCTCACACTTTTGTCAATATACCTCTACCCATGAGTGGCACTTGGTAACTATAGTGAACTTCCATTACAGTTCTGTACTGTGGCAAAACTGTTTTGCAGGATTGCCTGCCTTGTTGTTCCAACTGGCAGCTAATATCTCTGTCATAAACAAATGTGACACACATTTTGTTGCAATGTTCTTAACTAACATTAAAAGGATTTTAACAGAAAATTTAGCTTTCCAGGCAAGAAAACATTTTCTTTCTTTGCTGGAGAAAGGCTGGATTTCTATGATGGGGTAACTTTTTTCCTGAGGATTTCTGTCAATGTTTTATAAAATCCCCAGGCAAGTTTGGAAAAATTCATCTCCACAGGAAAACATTCATCCGGACCAAAAAAAGACAAAAATCATTGCGCCGACATATCTTGTAAGCATCCAATTTCAAGAACATCCCCTAACCCCAAAGCATAACCATTTGGCTTACGGGACTCAGTAGTACAAAAAAATATGTAGTAGTCAGAGCCTGAAGGACCCAGCCCTACAAATTACTACTTCTGGAGATGGCACTTCCACTTTTATTCATACAGAGAACAATAAAGTCATGCATTCATAGTGCCACAGCAATGAATGTTACATTGTCTTATTTAGTGTATTTTATGGCTTCCGAGAATAAGAAGGTAATGCCTTCATACAAGTGACAGTGCTGTGCGTTACATTTTACTACTAAGTAGTAATTTTTAGTACTAGTAGGGTTAGGATTAATAAACAACAGAAAAAACATTTTCCAATCCCCTTTTTTTATTGTTCTTTAAGAACACACTATGAGCAAGTGCGGATACATTTACACATAATACAGATATTTACAAAATAGTGAACAAATAGGCGGTCCCATCTAATTTTTTTGGCACTAACATTTTACATGTACCGGTGCCTGTATTACATTAAAATATCCTTTATTACACAATTGATATAAGGTCATTCCTGGTACATGTACATTATTGTAATGAATGTATAAGAAGTGCAGCTAAATTGTGAAGTATGGGCCTTGTTGTGTTTCCCCCACAGGTAGACAAAAATGCACCTGTTAGGCCTGTAAAACCAATCCAACAAAATGAGTCACAAGTCACCAGGGTACCTTTTGAGTTTACAAGCCTTTTACAAACCTTTTCGCCATGATCACCGAAAGCAACCCACATAATGCCAGTATTGAGTAGCATGATCGGGTGATGATAAAGTAAGTTACAAGTCAGAGGAAAGTGCTGATTAAGTTCTAATACATTTGAAATGCCAGGAGAGTTTGAAAAAAAGGTACATACATGTAAGACTCATTTTGTGGGATCTGGTAACAAACAGGTGAACTTAATAATGCAACCAAAGTCATATTTAGATGAATAATGAGTAGTTTCCCACTACACCTCCCAGACCCTTCAAAACCCATCAACTGGTCTTGGAGAATATTGCAGGACTGAGGAAAGTGTTCAAGCACAGTCACTTGTAAAATCAGGTTTAATACCCTTATAAGAAGGTACCACAGGCTCAGGAACTCTGGTGAATTTTAGGAGATTTGAGAAAAGTCTTAGCAACAGTACCCAAGGACCTAATATCAAACTGAACTGATTGTTAACTGTGCGTGGCCTTGAAAACAACAGACAGAGGGCCCGAATTATACATGTAGGTTATACCGATCGGTGTAACAGTAAGTCCCCGTGACAAGTTGTTAATGTCAGGACATGTTGGAGGTACTTTGCTTGTGTGTTCAAGTGGAATCTGACAATGAATCTCCCTCGGTTAATTTGTGACAGAACAGATGTGACAACTGTAATAAAAAGTATTGAATACTAGTGCAGAGTAGAATTCTAATAAACAGCACTTTTTCCAAAACGATTGGTTACAAAGCAATGCATTGGTGTACTACCGGTGTACGAAGTCTGAAAGAAAGATCATTGTACAAAGTTCCTACGTCCTCAAATAAATTATGACCAAATACACTTGTTTGTACCAGTGAGAAACCAACCAACTCTGCTACATGTGTATAGCAGTTCACTTGTATAGAATCCATGCATTAAAGAGCCAGGGGCATGGGTCTGTTCCCTCCTCCCTCAACATACGGCACATATATAAACTCCATTGGTGCCAAGACTTCAGGAATTTTCCAGGTATGTCTACGATCATTTTGACACAAATTTACGCGACGAGCGGACATTCCATTTGAACGTAAAATGCCCATTTTCGAGACAGGTCAGTCAGAGATGTTACCTTTTTTCAATTACATGCTGATGGCCACACACGAGGCAGTGCTCTATACGGGTACATGGTAAATGACCATAGCATTGCTGGATGCAGCCTATGAATGTCTTCATGTGCTCACCAAATTTAAAAAAGAAAAGAGAAGAAAGGGCATGGGGCATCTGACACGGCTGTGAAATGGTCCCGTAACAACAACAAAAACAACACAAAAGCTCTTGAGGGGTTAAAGTGCCTTGCCATCAGCAATGAGACTATAAACTGCACTAAACAATGCCATCAATAATTGCTGCTCAGCGTCCTCAAAAGTTATGCACAGCACCTACCATGCCTACTGAGAAACACGTGTAACTTAGTATCAAATACTAGTGTTACAGTGCACTTAAACATTTACTTGTACAATGTAAGCATACATACATTCATACATACATGTACTACCTAACCCAATGGCATATTCTTCCCACACGAACTTTCCTACAGCTGCTTAAATGAACAAAAGCGAAAACAGCATACACACTTTTAAACTTGTCGTGTGTGTGGATAAACATGTAGTCTATGTGTATTTAATTTGCGAAAGAAATCAATAGCTGTTGCAAATGCTAACTTGTGGCCAATTTTTCAGTTTTGAGATACACTTTTTGTCCAGATATCCAACCTAAGTGTTGTCATTCTAAGCCACAGATCCATTTTAATACTGTACATGTACACCCTGTATGTGTTCAGCCACTTTTGCCGGCAGAGCTTGCAACCTCAACTTGACAGAATTACGGAGAAGCATACAACAATGCTTCATTCAGACTTTAAAGTAGAGGATCATCCCTTCCAGTCATTGGTATGATTGTCTTCATGTTTCAAAAGATAACGGTACTACAAAGACATGCTGTAATTTGTCGCATATGAACCAGAATATTCAATGACTGACTTTTTGATTGCGATGATAAAATCTACAGTACTGGTACATGTACCATGGCCGTGTCTGACACGGGCTTCCAGAGCTTTGGCTAGGTCTATTTTCTATGCATCTCCACGCATTTCCAATGGAGTGAAGACCTAAACCTAGCTTTGGACAAGTGATTCAGATGCAGCCTATATTTAAAAAAATGCGCGAGAGGGAATTCTCAAAAATTTCAAACAAAATACATGCATTGAACTAAGTAGGTATTCACAAGGTCTATCAACATTTAAGGAGCAACAAACTTATACAGCAATTATAAAACGTCAAATGTAAACTTAAATAGACAGTATATTTAATCAGAAATCTGTCTCCAAAAGCCTTGACAAATGAGTTGGATTTCAGAAAAATTGTGATTTGATTGTTAAAATTTGAACTGACAAGTCTTGAACTATACTTTATGTAACTGCACAGAATTGGATGGTGACCAAACAGTGTGACGTAAAAGTGATGAATCCTCTTGCTTGGCAGCCTGACGAAACCCTTGACAAATAAAATTGATCAAACATGAGCTAGAAAAGCAGAGGCTTCCTATTCTATTGAACAGCCTCTGTGATACAGGTCAACAAAAGGTCACTTCCACAAGACATCTGCGGATTCCTCTTATTCATCTGTGCCATAGAAACCATAAAAAAATTCAACTTTGCAACATTATGACTGCTTTGTATTTTGCTCTACTTGTTGAATCAGCCAGGCATTTCGCAATAAGTGATGCCACAGGGGAAGGTTATACAAAGGCTATCAGGATCATTAGAATGACATCACCATGGTTTAAACCACACCCACTGCATGTAGAATTAATGGAAAACTGGAAGTGGAAGATAACGCAGCTTGAGTGTTCATCCAATGGGAGCTTGTAATCAGTAGAGCGTACGTGTGTATGGCAGAGTCATAAGAACCAGATAAGCCTCCTCTCCAAAGTAATGGGATCACAGGTCCTCTGTTCATTGCAAGACTAAGTACTTCAATCATCTTTATGCACAGAAAAACAATCTTTTCCACAAAGTTCTGAACTCACTTCACAGTTGTTGAGCAATGGCTTCTTGTCCAGCATGTTTAATTCATCAGGCCAACTCAGAATTCTTATGTCGCGCAAGCACAAAAAGAGTGATGGGTATGCACAAGTGTCAGAAACTGAATGTTTCTCCTTTGGTAAAAATGACGACACAGGCAAACACCAATTTTCCTGTCATATCCGAAGGGGCAAGTAAAGATGCAGTGGTGAAAACCTGTCCTAAAAGAACCCAATTTACTTTCAGCATTCTGACTTGGGTTTTTCAGATATCCACACAAAGTTGTGAAGTGCTGGATTGAATATTTGGCAATTTAATCCCCCAAAAGAGCTTGAAAGGGAAGGGCACAAGAAGAGGACACTTACTGACTACAGAACCTGGCTGGCTGAACTCTGGCTGATGTAGATAAGGGCACCCCCTATGTTGACAGCTGAGGCCATGACAAAGACGGGGTACCAGTAACCAGTGGAACCCACCACCAGTGCAGTGACAGGACCACAGGCCAAGCCGGGTAATGTGGCCTGGTATAAACAGGAAAATAAATTCAGAGCTAAACTACAGACATCATGTAAACTCGCAGCCTTTGGCCGTTTTCTAATACTCAACTTTTACTCAGTCTCAGGCTTCAACTGTTTTTTTACTACCAGACTTTGAAGCTGTAAGCACACTAATTAGTCTAATAGTGCCACAAAACATCAAATAAGATGCAAGAGAACCAAAAATTACAGTAATCCACTTTAATGTACATTGTAAAAGCTTCAGGCCCACAATCGGGGATTGGTTTCGGGGATGAAGCCTGAGACGGAGATGAAGATGACTATTGGAAAAGGGTCTTTAATGTGTAAACATTTAAGTGCCAACTGGTGCCATGTATCAACACTTGTGTAAATTGTTGTCACATACTCAGCTGGCAATTTGTAATAAGACCCTGTGTCATCTGCACAAAAAAAAGTGCCTTCATCTAGAACGGATCTTTCAAATCTTTGACTTGCCTGTCAAAGGTTTTTTCTTCAACATCGAAACTGCTTTCATGCCTACGACGTTCTAATAAAATGCAAATCCATCCTTATATCAAATCTTTGAATCCCAAAATCTAATTGATGAATTAACAGCATTCACTTTAATCTTCTGCTAGGAAAGCAGAGCTTTTAACTGAATTGAAAAAGTCCAAAGTTTGGGCAAAAATTAGATGAAGTAAAAGACAAGATGAAATTTTCATTGCAAAATTAGAAAACTTCAAGCTTTCTGTAGATTGTCTGCACATTCAGTCACTCCAAACAGACATCTCTGTGTCAGAACTTTGGAATATATGCATGTTTAAATACCATATCCACACTTTGGAGCTGTGCTAAATATTCACATATTTGGATATTTGACAATTATTAAACATTTGAATATTCATTTTTTTAATGGAATATTGGAATGAGAAAAGCAATGAAACAAATAACAGAACAGCAACATCTGTGTGTGAGGTCTACTCTATCGGTGTGGTGGGTCAAATTGAATACTTGATCTAATGGATGGCCAAATATTGAATTATTTAGATGAACTCAGTCTCACTCTGCTTACCAGTGTGTTGGACACGGCAAACGTAATACCAGCATGATTGGGAGCTACGTCTGGGTGGTTACTCATGTGACCAGAGGAGTTACATCCACATAATCCCAATGATATTGACACAAAACTGCAAATGAGGAAGACAAAAACAAGCACAAAATCACAACAAATTATCGCACTTGACAGTACTGTTACAGCCTGTTCAATATTACTAAAGTGGCTAGTCAAAAATTACCTTTTTTAATTATCAAGCAGCTTTTTCCTCAGCAATATTACCAATGTGTAGACAGCATGACCCTAAACTAAAGTTGTCTTCAAAGGCTAAAGCAAGTGCAAAATATTCCAAAACTGATGGTGTGTGTAGGTTTCCAAGCGCAGTGTTCTCCACGTTAACAATTTCAATGTTCTTGGTCACAACCTAAAAATGAGGCTAGAGAAGCCTACATACATGTATACCTTGTAAAGGCCTGAAATTAGCCCAACATTTTAAATGGAAAAGCCTACAATGGCAATTCTGTGCAAAAGTGGAAATTTGGTCACACTTTTCCCAAAATCATCATTAATCATAATTCAAAACAAAAGAAATTTTACAAAACAAATGAAAAGAGAATTAAATGTAAATATATACTCTTGATTATTTACTTTGTTTCCCCAAAACTCTTGGTTAAGAAATGCCTAAGATCATGAGGTCAGTAAAAATGTGACCCAGTGGCAACTTTGCATGGACTTGCCCAAATCAGGCTTTTTCCTGGAAACAAACATGTCTGTTTCAGGCTTGCTTTCCACGTACCACACTGCCAGGGCAAGACTATCCACGTAGCTGAAACACAGCAGGAACAGGGATGGTCCAATCAAGCCAATGCTGGTCATCAACCTCCGGACTGATAGAACTGTCCAGTACTTCTTGGAGATGAGAGAATCTGCGTAGTGGCCTGCAACTGGAGACCAAAGCCACAAATGAAACGTTAGGCAGAAGACCACAGAGCATGTTGGGAAAGGCCTTTAACTCTAAAAGCATGTACCGGCAAGATGTCCAAAAGCAGAAAGAAGAGAGACAGGTAGTCCAAAACTCCCAAGTATGAATGTGTTTTCAGGTGCTTATCTGCCTTATCTGCAGAAGCACCCTCTCATCATTTGAAAAGAGCCATGTTGGTCAGGAGTGTTTATTTGTTGGTAACAATGCGACTGCAATGCTTATGTTTCATGTTGTTCATGAACAGGCAATCTGCAGTTACTACCAAAGGAGCCTCCGTTGCCAAGAAAACTGTGCCCTCTCTTGGTCCAACTTGGACTCCATACCTACATGGTATTCTTGAAGCCAAGCTAATACAAGTACCTGAATTCAATGCGCTTCATGTACATGTCCGGTCAGCTATTTTGTGGAGGGGGGGGTTAACTTTTTTTAGTCAGTTGGAGTAAATGGGCCAAATGTGTGGTACATACATGCAATTAAGGGAGGTATCATTATACATACATACATGTACGCCTGTCACGCTAGCAATCACGTTTGTATGGGCTGTGACAACTCGACGCTGATAGTCAGTAAAGTTGAACATGATCCATGATCCGTGTTTGCAATCAAGCATTTCTGTATGATTGCATATCATTGCTAACTGACTTTTTTGTGATACTGTCTACATGTACATCTCATTACGTCAGTACGGAAACTAGACTCTACAGACTTTTGGGCCATGCAAGCACCGACGACCCCACAAAGGTAGCCAAACTTACCAACCCCAACAAGGGAGTTCATGATGTAGGGCAGGGCGGTGAAGCTGATGTCCTTGGCATTAGCCCCAAGGTGCCGCTGCAGGTAGGTGGGAAGCCAGGACAGCACAATGTAATTAGACCAATTCATGGCAAAGTGGGCGGCATAGATGGCCCAGAGGGGCCGGTGGGAGATGTAGCTGGTCCACCGCACGCTGTTGGTGGTATCCAACTGTAGTAAAAGAAAAGTCAGATGTGTGTTGTGCTAGCTTCACTCACCTTTTTAGAGGGGGAAAGGTTCAAACCCTCCCAAAGACATGTCTGTATTTTTAGCCTCTACTCAAATATTTCGTCACTGATACCACAAACTGACACAAAGTGCTACTTGTGTGCGTACCGGTACACTGCACAGACAATTTACAGTTCCAATATTTTCTGTTTACATAAACTGACGGAAGAGTTCCTGATTGTGTACACAGGACATTTTTCCAATTCTAATCACAACCTGAAATTTTTCTTGATTTCCTGAGTTGGAAAGGTTTTAGACAAATACCATTCACATTTCCTCATAGTCAAATCATGGAGTCAGAATGATTCAATTCACAGTTTTCATGAAGAGTACCCGAACAGAACTTGTGTGTTAGCTAATGAACAGGGTGACCAATTGACTATAATTTCAATTGTGGTCTTCAGAACAATTCCTCCGATGTCCAAGAACTGATACACGTATATACAAGTTACTTCATTCCCTCACTAAAATGCACAAGCATCTAACATTTCAAAGTTGCTACATCTCAGTCGGACCAGCCAGACAACCCCAGCAAGCTCAGTGGCCGTGTGGGTAAGACATCTGCACTCGTCAGCAGGGGGTTGTGGATTCGAGTCCCACCAGAGTAAGCTTGAGAAGCTCTTGGACAAGCACTGAGCAAACAGTGTTATGAATATGCATCGGTGTAAAGGGCAAAACCCATAATGAAAACTAAGCAACTAACATGATGATGGCAAAATATCCCATCAGGAATCTTCCGTTAAGTGGGGGAAAAAACTCATTCACATACACCATGTTTTAAAGGATTCTGCATGATTTAGGGAGGGTTGAGCTCAGCCACAGGTACATGTACATGGGGTCACACTGAATGTGCTTTTTAATTGGTATCCTACAGGAGACAGAGATGCCACAGGGTCTGCTTGAAAAAACCAGAACGTTTTTTAATTGTAGCAAATAGTATTGAAGTGCACCATTGAGCGTAATGAGCAGAGTGCGTAAGGACCGGGGAGCTCTTCTCTTGCAGTCATGTCCAGTTCCAATTACTTTTCACCTTTAATTTGATGGCTTTTAAGTTGTTTGCTCTTTATAAAATTTAAATATTTCCATGTTTTGACGGAATCTGAAGCATGATGTATGGGATTTTTTGCTCCAAACTGTGCACGATTACGTTGTAGAAATTTATCGATAGCTTATCCTGTGAATTCGAAAACACGCATGCATGACCATCATGATGCAGTTGGTGCCTGGCTTGTTATGTAAAATATTTTTATTCATACAATCACTGTGATAAGGAACCACTGACTGACGTAATAGTCTTGAATTAATGGCAGTATATACTGTGCATGGTGCTCGCACACATCGACTAACACGAGTTGCATGTTCAGACAGTTCACTACACTGTGCAGTACTTGGTGCAGTCACACTGCTAGAATTCTGGTCATTTCGATGATCATAAAGGCAAGCAGGTGCAGGCAGTGCGTGTTGCTTTGTATGCAAGCTCAGTAGCCTTGGTTTTAAGGTGACTATTAAAAGAGACAGAGATACAAATGCATGCTGTACATGCAGTGTGCCACTGAGACGACTCAAGACATTTGTGTTTTCTTTTCTGGCCTTTTCTTTTCGGCCAGAAGAAAATAAAAAGGAAATCCAAAATCTGGATAAAACCCGAAAAGTGGCATCTCTGAGGGCAGTCTAAAAAACAAAACTGTTCGGGTAGTCCGGGTTAAGCCTGAGTCTACAGGTATCAAATTCTGTGAAGTTTGATCCATGGGTGTATTCTTTTTTGGTAACACATCTTATACATCAAGCTCTAGTATGCAGTCCTCAATCCACCACTGAACGGCAAAATTAAAGGTTGGCTTTAGGTACAATACATTTAATCCTAAAGGGATCTCAGACGGATTTCACACATTGCGCAAAAAAAAAAGTCTCAGAAAAATTTATCGAATGGGCCCTTTACCTATTTAAGAGGCACAAGGACCTGTGTGAACAAATTGTGACTGAGCTGTGCCCTCCTCAAGGATCCAAAATCTTCCATGGAGGATTTCAATGGTTCAGGGAGATCAGGCATAACTGGAGACACACTCACAGTGGGGTTGTACAACAGCTGTGGGTCTACGTCAGGGGACTCATCTCGGAAGAGCAGGATCCAAATGGCTGCCCAGACGAGACCAATACAACCGAACGTGTAGAACATCATCGGCCAAGACAGGTGGGGGCAAATCTGGGCATAAACCACAAAAGGGAACGGTTATGATGATGAAAAGCCAAAGTTCTTTCATTTTAAAGTTATTGGAATTTTGCATGTTATGTGATGTTCATCATAAAGCAGCGACAATGATTGCCTCATCTGCATTTAATTCTAACTACACGTATCCTCCAAACACAGCAAGCTCGGGGGTCTATTGGTAATATGCAAGTGTTTGTGGGCGTCAATACTCACTGATGCAAATTTCATGTCTCTTCTCACAACCCTGTGCAATGCACTGACCAAAATATGCTCATGATATTACGTCAACACAAGCGCAGCACAAAAACCCAAATCTGTCCTCTGCAAATCACTGTTTGTCGACTTGTATCTTTTCAAGGAAATATGACTCCATCATTCAGACAATCATACTGGAACTTTTCATAAACAGATATATGAACTATGTTCATATCATTTGCAACCAAAACACAATGGAACTTTTCATAAACAGATATATGAACTATGTTCATATCATTTGCAACCCAAACACAATGCTAAAATCTATTATTGAGCTCTTGCACGTATACACGTTTACACATCTAAAAGCCACTGAAGGTTGCCAATCAAAGTCAACAATGCTTTCATTCAAAAACTTGATCTTCCATTGAGCCATGCGATCTTAGGGCGATATCAAAATGTACTGTATGGTAGTATTACCACTGAAGCCACTGTCTGGCCAACGGACCCCAGGGCGACCAGGTAGCCAAAGGCCCTGGACCTCTCCTCCACAGGCACGTGCTGAGCAAAGATGTGGAAGATAGTAGGCAGGCAGAAGCCCTCGGCAAAGCCCAGCAGGATGCGGGACATGATGAGCAAGTTGACTGTCTTGGCCAGCGCAGGGGTCATGAAGGTGGCCAGGGACCAGACGGTGACTGCCAGGCCCAGGGTCATGCGACCACCAAACTTCAGTGCCGCTTTGCCTCCGATCACCTGCAAAATGAGAAGACTGGTTGAGTGACGCACTATGTCCCATTTTGGCGGCTAGAGTGAGGATGATTTAATGTGTGAAAGTGGGCAAAGAAAGTGAGTACAATCAATTTCTTTCTGCCATGAGCGGCTTTTAATCAGACATAATGTCAAGATCACATGAGAACGCATTCACATAGTTTGAATGTTGCAAGCAAAACAAAACATACTTCACATGTCCAATTACAAAAAGTGTTTGAACAAAGGCTGACGTCTGACAGAAATTTCACATAATGAAAGCCATGTGTGTCTGTGGAAATTGGGAGCAGCCAATATCCAGTGCCTTCTATGGGTACATGCATAATTTCTGGCTAGCCGGCCATGGTCTTACAATTTTGACACAGATCAAATTTAAACATTACCACCACCCACAGTTACCACTGTACTAGTACCATTAATTTCCAAAAATGGAACTGAATTTAATGGTGCAATAACATTGTTAAAAAACACAGGACAAGACACGCTGGAGTCGTTACCATTTTAATTTATATTTAATAAATATTTTGGCTTTGTGTGACTGAGTAGGTTGGGATAATAACTTGAGAAACAAACCACTATTTTTGTCTGGCCTAATAAGCACCTGGCTGCTGATGTAGCCGTAGGCAAAGGCACTGAGGATCCAGCCCTGCACCCCCATGTTCCAGTGGTACTGGTCCGTCATGGGCACCACGGCGATGGGCATGATGACGCGGTCAGCTGCATTGATGAAGTTGGCCATGGAGCAGAGGGCCACGATCTTGGAGCTGGAGATCTTGGGGGTGGAGGCCATGCTGCAGCAACGGTGGGGGAGGGTCTGGGACCGGGGTCCGTCTCCCGTCTCGGTGAGAGGCTCCTGCTGCTGTGGCCTCAAGGGCAGTTTCATGGGCCACACAGAGGGAGCAGGGGGGAGTCACAAAGTAACGTCTTGACAGTCTCAGATCTGTGATTAAAAAAAGTCACTCTGATGCTTCTGATCTTCAGTCTTTGGCTTTGAATAAAATCCATGGAAACTGTTCCATGTACGGATGACACTTGATGCCCCTGTGCACAAACCAATGAGACTTGTCTGAAGAAAACGTGTTTTCTAAGTAAATGCTGTTCGGCCTAGGCCTACCTGCCAAACAAATTAGAATTAGAAATAGGCCTAGTCAAATTATACAGGTCAAGTGTTGCAGTGACCCCCGAATTTACAGAATGACCCACATCGTGCAGATGAAATGCATGACCACAACATAACACAAGGCGACATGCCAATTTGTTTAGTTCCTTGTATCTACTACTAGTACTAGGCCCACTATTACTAGTTGTAAACCGTAGACGACATTCGGCGCCTGCCTGCAACTTGCAAGGCTAACGTTAGAACCATCACATAGAGGTAGACGTGTTGAACGTCGAGGCTTGCCTACTTTTACAAAGTACCAAATAATGCTTATCAACACTGGGTTGTTACAGAAGTACTATGCACCTGTCTACAAAAATATCATTATTCGAAATTATAAAGACGGACAATGTTATACGGAAGACACCGTCCTGAATTACCGATTGTTCTTAATTGTCCACGAGCACCGTCATTTTGAGCTACACCCGAACGTCTCCAACGGTTAATGTCATTCAGAAAAGACTGGTACCAAAGACTTGGCAAACATGTTGTCTAGAGCTAGGTCTAGGTCTTCCCTCCACATGGAAATGGTTGGAAATGTGCGGAGGAGCGTCGACAATAGATCTAGCCGTAGCTCTGAGGTTAGCAGCACCCTGCCAAAGGCTAGTAATAATCTAATAATATCCTACTGTTGATAGGTCCTACATTCTAAACCCAGGCGAGGCCACATGCTTGACACGTAAAAAGAAAAAACTTACAGTGGTTGACATGGTTAGCCATTCTGCCTCCATGGTTGAGCTGCCATTAGGCCAAGGCCGGCTGTAGTGTAAATAAACTTGAAGTTATACACCAGGGCGGGCCTACATTGTCCGTGTAGTGTCTCAGCATTTTAGCTGAAGATCATGCAGTTTGCAGAAGTTACAAGCCTGAAGTTGCTTTGCTTGAAACAGTTCTCCGAGTTGGTGGCAGAGGATCGCATTCACCTTCATAGTCTAGAAGGTAGGCCCTTGGTCGTGTTGTGGTGAATATCAGTGCTGTAGTCGAGTCCATGCATGGTCTTTGGTGCCCGAGTCCATGTCATCGGAGACCGAGTCCTACCAAGAGTCCTTGTGTCCAATTCTGAGTCCTTTTATGAACCTCTTGGCCTAGTGCAGTGTTCTCATTAAGTTGACGCTGATCACCTGATACACCATTTACACAAATATTTTTCACAAGTGACACATCTTTACAATTGAAAAGCATAATTTAAGTGGAACTAATTTGACCTTGTGAAATCTAACTTGAACATTTGAATTAGTGCAAAGGGATCAACTTTATTTGACAACTGAGAAATATTTTGTATCACTGAACATCAATTTTCTGACCGCAGTTGGTAGTGGAATACACTTAATAGCAAACTACATGTATGTAGTGTGTACTTCATCCGAAAGAATAAACATTTTTGCCCTCAGTTTTTAACTGAACTTTTCGCTTCCCAAGCTCAAATAATGAAAATGTTAAAATCCCCAATTCAAGTCATTTGTGTAAAAAGTTGTTTGTTACAATAATGCCAAAATGCAAAGTTCATAAGTTTCAAACTACACAATGTTCTTTGCATCAAAGAAACCATTATCATTTCCAGCAGTTTAAATTTAATTGCCCGTTTGAGGCACGTATACTCCTTGTGATTGGTTCTAATCACTTGAGACAACACCAAATGATTGATCACAGACACTGCATGCAAAACAGGTGTTGTAAGCCAACTAACAATCTGTGCATGTACTTCAGGATGATCGGAAGGTTATGGTAAGGTCTAGGTCTTGGGACATTGAAAACTGAAAATGTACAAGGGCAAAATGACAAAAGCCGTAGCCACTAGGTCTTGATTTAGAAGCCCATTTTGGTTTTGGACACAGCCGGGCAGTGCACAGCATATGCCTCAATCTCGTCCTGTAGCTTCATACTTGTTTCTTTTAAAGTTTCCATTTAAATTCTCTATCTCCCAATTTTTTTTCAGCAGACAGATTCATACCAATGATTCTAGGGTGTACAAATTGAAAAAGTCAAACCCAAGCTCAAACTTTAAGATTAATGTTATTCTAAAAACGACCATATTCTGGTTCCACAGTTCTGACCTTTCTTTGCTGCCCCGAAGGATGTCGATAGTATGTGGCAGGAACCAGTCTATATTTGTGAACCATCTATGTGGGCATTGTATGCTACTATTCACCTGCAGTAGAAAAAAAATTAAAAATTGGTCGGGGGTGGCTGAGTCCTTGTGGTTTCAGAGTTCTTATTGTTTGAGTCCAAGTCCAAGTGGTGAATATGATTCAGAGGTGATGATAATGATGGTCATTTCATTTAGGGCCAAGGTCTAACAACCAAGGTTTACAATTAGACATACACGTGACAATTTTATATGTGTAATTTTTATATGTATAATTTAGGTACCTCCGGGTACTACGGGGTAGTGGAATAGGTGCACAGTGTGGCGATGCCCATAGACACGGGGTAGTACATTTACTTCTGCTGTTGCACTCGGCAAAGTCCATAAGCTTGGATGTATGGCCAAGGAAACTTGATATATACATGGGGAGTGCAGGTGTAAATCAATGCCAAAATATAGTGCAAGTGAAGAACTACAAAGTTTATAATATTTACATGTTGGTTTATATGTTGTGCTATAGCATGGTTATCTTGGTCAACATATATGTAATTGAGGCCATCATTCATTCAGTGCACAGACCTTGTACATGTACATGTATGGGAAAACGTTGCATTGACATTACTGCAGCCTGCAGATTGACAGCCAGTCTTGACACTTAATGACTCTGTTACGTTCTTTTTAAAGAACTACCAAGTGCTACATTTCCCTTGCATTTCCTTTCTTCCAGAAGAGTGGAGCCGAGTGATGAACTAGTTCTAGGGTAGGAGTAGCACAGGAATTGACATAATTCAGTTGGATATGCTGACAACTACGTATTCTCCATTTGTTTCACACGATGTATATTTCAGAATTCCCCTCTCGTCTCCTGAGAGACCTTGTGCCTGTGCTGAGCATAAATGACTTGGCGAGACTACATCAAATTCTCCGAGAGAAAGGTAAATCCATCCTCCCTCTTTTCTCAGCTCCAGTCTGGGGCCATTGGTAATTTATTTATTTTTAGTTACTTTACAAAAAAAGTAACCTGAAATTGGCTGTTGGTGTTTTTTCTCCCATTTTTTCCCAGGTATTGGTGTGCAACAATACTGGTTGAAGTTTTATCGTCAGGCTTTCCAGGAAGACAGATTGGCGAGGCAGTGTGCTTGCCATGACAGCAGTTTGGCCAGTTTGGACTGGCGACAGAGGCTTCTTGAAAAGAGGTGTGAGCAAGAGCTCCAGAAGTTGGGTCCCTCACCAAGTGAGGGAACAGAAGAGCTAGGTGAGTGATCATTGTACCTCTAAGGTTTTATAGTCACTTTGCTCATTTATCACGTCGCCTACAATCATTTCACCCATTTGCCACTACGCCCATTTACCATTTCATGCAATTGTCACTTTGCCCATTTGCCTCTTCGCCCATGTCCCACTTCGCACGCACACGTCACTTCGCCCATAGCTTTTGTCAACTCTTTAAGGAGAGGAAGACACAGAAAAACAACTACCTAATCCCTTAAGAATTCATCCTGAATGCCAGAAAAGAAAAAAGATTAATTAGAAATACTAAGATATACTGGATTTTGGGAGTGTCAAGGTTTTCAATGATGTTAAGCCGATGCAAAGCTAAAAGCAGGTTGATGCACATAGCGAGAACCACATCGAATGGCCAGGAGCCTGAGCGACTCCTGTGACAACGTAAAGTACATTCAGAATTTTGATGATCCAAAACTGACATGAAATGGTTAGAAACTTCAGAAATATTTAGTGATTTAGTTCACAGAACTAGAGTCGTCTTCAAACATCTGTGCACGTTGTTAAAAAGATTTGGAGCATTGTAACAGAAACCATGCTTTTGAAAATGCTTTTGCTGTGTCTAAGTCTTGACATTTATGATTATCATATCTGCAGAGTTGCACTCAATAAACCTGATAGCCAGTTAAAACCCTCCTATGCTGAAGTCACTCTTTGGGTCACTTGGTAAACACCTCAAAGAAGCACAGCTGTGTTGCATTGTGCACTGCACCAACAGTCCCTCACAGGAA